AGTTGTGTGCTTCAAGGTCAAAATAGGAATTGTGATATAACACTATAATGAAACTTTAGGATGTTATAGGTAAGATAATAAGACCTGCAAAACACATACTGAAAGCTTGCTGGTGCTGTTGCATATACATAAGAAATATATAGATACCTAGAAAAATAAATGTCCGAAGAATTCGGACATGGAGAAAGAAATACACTGAATTCAAAAATGGGGCATAATAAATGTCTAGGTCACAGTTCAAAAACCACCACATAATAACAATAATAATGATATATATAAAATAAAAAAATATGCACATATCATCAATTATATAGGTTTTTACGCATATCGCATATCGATATATATGCTACATATATAGACAGACTGTGGGCATTAAGTGTTAAAGCCAAACCAAAAAGTGTTGCAAACTACCCATTTACGGACTACACTTTCGCCCATATTCTTGCTGATAATAATAATAGAGATAATATTTCTCTACAAAAGAGTGATGAACGATTTGTATCCCATGACTCCTAATGTGATATTCCCGTTAAAATTATTCTATTTTTATTTTTTGTTATGCTTTTCGATGAGAATGAAAAAAAAATATTACACCGTTGAAAATAAAATTCGAATAGATAATGTTTATTGAAACTCTGTGCGATCATAAGCAACATAATTACTAGTTAAGTTGATCAAAGTCCTTTGGTGTGACTAAAAACAGCCATCATTAAGAAAAATATGTAAAATACCACTGACAATAAAATGTGAATTGACCACATTTCACAAACCAAATAATAACGAGAATAATGGATTAATTATACTTCTATTGGTAGTCGTAATGGTTGAAATTGACTTATTGTATTTCCAATTAATTCGTTATCATCTTTACTCGTCAAGTTTCCTTTGTCTCCAAAGGAAACAGTTTAGATAACAGTAGAAATATTCTAATCAATCTGAGAGAAGATGATATCCACCATTTCATGAGATATAAGTCGCAATACATAATTTAAAGTGATTAAGGAAAGTTAGAATGGTGTTTGACAAAATATATTTGGTTGCTTGATTTTACTGTCGACAGAGGTTCGTTATCTTAATAAAACTATAAATCTAGACTTTATTTATTATTGTTTTGTCAATGGAATTGTAGACAAATGGAATTGTATGTAATAACGACGGATACAAGGATCTTATGTTTTTTATATATATTAAGCAGGTCCATTATCGCCAAACTGATAATACGTAAACATAATGTATATAATGTAATAACAATAGAGAGACTAATGTAATAAACTTATGATTTGGATATATACTGTAAGAAGGCCTAATATAATTTGATCAAAAGATAGGTATTAATCAAGGATAACTATTTCCGCCGTCTGGTAATATATATACATTATATAAATTGCAATAAAAATTATGTTTAAAAGAGGCTAAGAACAAGTAATTACTAAATTTAGTTAAAAATTTCAACTTTCAACAATTTAGTTAATGATAAGTAGTATCGACTACATAAGTATGAAAACTAACGATTTCAATATATTATATTTAAGTAAAATTCGTAATATTATCGTACGACCCTCGTGCATGGAAGTGTGTGAAAGGATTCAAACCAATTGGCGTGATTAAATTGTAGTATTATGAGCAACATTGTCTATCGTTGCTGGAAGCCAGTAAGGGTATCCGTACTCATATATGTACGTACGTACCCATGCCTGCCAAGAAGAATAATTTTTATAATGGTAATTTTGTTACGAAACAGTGTAGGGAAATTGGCAGTTGGCCAACACATTCGTATGAAGTCCATCCATATGAAAAATGAAAGAAATAATATAAAATGGAAGAAACAAGTAAGAAAAAAAAATAAAAAACACACTAACTCACCTGAGCAATTTTGAAATTTTCTTATAAATTATTTAAATGTTTTGGAGTTTACTGCAACCGGCAAGATAAACATAAAGCACGTCTATGTTAGCATGTGAATACTGTAGATACTTACGATCAGACCAGTGCGGTGTGTGCGAATGTGTGCCATTTAACATTTCGAGCTTATGCCGGCATTCATCTAAAGTGGAACTGTCATTATAAGAACATTAAGGTAAGTGCGGGCTCGGCTATATCAAAAGATACTCATTCATATCCAAAAATAACAACACAAAATAGAGGTTAAATTCATTTTATTTCGTATCATTAAAATGTTTGTGTTATTCTTAAATGTGCTACTTTAATTATTTATGAGATACTTTTGTTATGGTCTTTAACAATTTTTATGTCATACACGTTAAGTTAATAACATTTCAAAATTAAACACAAATTAATGTGTTGGATAATTTATTACTCAATAATTGTATAAATTATAAACTATTATTTTAAACTATTAAAAACGAGAGGATATACAACCGTATATACTTTAAACACAAATTAAACTTTCTTTTAATGGCACATTGGACGTACTTATTTTCCATGTACATTAATAAAATTAAAAATTAAAATTGTTATATTGATTGACTTGTCACAGGTTAAAATATTAAAATATTAAAATTGTTTTTTAACATATCTCTAGATCAGTGGTTCCAAACCATTTTTTTTTTTGACGAAGGACCACTTTAAGAATAAAAAACGGTATGATTATTTTAATATGCTTCATACAACTCTAGTATAATGTATAATGAATTGGATAAGTTCATAGTATAGGTACATTATAAAGACTACGATATAGGCATATAATTATTTGGACATTTTTTGTGCTTTTTTTCAAATAAGTGAGGTCTCAGTACACAAACTACAAGCTAGTTATGTATCCAAATTTGTTAAATTTTATTCACAAATCATTTGCAACTATCTTGCGGACCACCGGTTGGGAACCACTGCTCTAGATAATGTAATATGTGAGCTAAAAAATTAAGGTACTCCTAGTAAACCAAATATTTCATACAAATTTTATCGAAAAATACCATCACATATAATACTTTATATCAGACTCACACTCTAAAGTAGAGTTGAATTGAGTGCACAAATAGTAACCTAACGTAGATGCATCGTTGATGTACTACTAGAAAGATATGTCGAAAATTGATATATATCAATATAGATAGGCAAATCAGTAGTTTTACACTTTGCATATATCAAATCGAAAAGCCAAATCTTTCAATTAGAGTAGTAAAACATATGTATCAATATAGTGACTACCAAGTAACTATAGGTGTAGAGCTGATCTAATACGTAATAGCACCAACCATATTATGTTCCATTACTAACCTAGAGTAGTACGAACAATAAAGTATTTACTGATATTGTGACTAGTAATGATAACTGTAGATAGAGCAGATAAACCGATACATAATGACAAACTAGTGAATATCGACATATTCAATATTAAAATTGGATTCTTTACTAATAGGCAATTAGTAATTAAAGTTTTACACTCTCACAGCCTAAGTTGAATTTTTAAACGAGATGAGTGGACAGAATATCGCATCTGCCGTTATAATGACTACCATTACTCTAATAGCAGGCAACTCTATCACAGATGAACTGATACGCAATGGATAAAGATAAAACTCTATTAGTACTATTTAGGGATTTTCATGCAAATCAATACCAATAAGTCTATGATATTCTGTTATTTTTTCAAAAAAGAAAACAGACTCTATATACAGTGAAACTTTCATAATATTTTGCAAAGAACTTATGGAGACCTCGAGTTAAAGAACTTTTTTGTAAGTCTATGTAATTCTATGATCTCTAAACCCTGTTGCACTCTAACTAGTTCGAGTTATAGAAAATTCGAGTTATAGATGTTCGAGTTAACATACTGTTATCTCGCTTTCGAACGGGAATTGGCTAATAAACAGTCACGCATAGTGACAGAAAAAACAGTTATCGTTTATACTCCAAGTCTCCAAGTCTATTCTTTACATGTCTTTGTTTTTCTTAATATTGGATATCAAGGATATCAAAATGAGAGATGTGTGAAAATATTCTTCATTACCAGTTCTCTCTTTTTGCAGCATAGCTCGTTTTTGATGATTCCTATTTTGTATATATGTGCAGGCACTAAACTGTGACCTATCGGTCTATTTGCGATGGCTCTGAATTTGTTAAAATAAGGTGAAAATATTGAAATGGTTGGTACACAGTTAAACGAATTTGATACTCTGTTTAAAGAACTGAGAAATGACTTGACTGGAATGTATCTTAATTATAACAGCAGCTATTGAATAGTTTAAGCGTTCTTTTAAATGAAAAGTAAATGTAATTCTTAGTTTGGCCTCAGCATATCAGTTTATACTGATGTAATGATTGTACGGTGTTAAAGAGTTAGTTTTTATTTGAATGATGTTTTCCTAAGTTATTAACTCGACCATAACCTAAGCAGATAATTAAATCATTATTGCATAAGGATTCAAAATTCTATATAAACTCAAGTATAAACTATAATTTATATCATTAAAAATTCTTTCGTTACACCATCGGCCAACAACAAGTGGTAGATGAAGTCTGCCAGATTGCAGAACAGATGTGAGGTTTTATCTTCGGCGCACAGGAGCACTTATTGCGCAAAGCACGCAGAGCATAAATCAACTAACCGCTGATATTCCAGCGCTTCGTTTGATTGGCAGACATGCAACCAGAGTTCGCTTCAATGTAAAATGGAATGCAGAAGTTGTCAGAATATTGACAAGGATCATGCATCTTTTTTGCAAGTCTACTTCCATAAGTAGGCACACTAAGCATTTGGTTCAAAAACACACTACAGCGATAATTTACCAAAGCTTAGTTTCACTTAATTCAGTAAAAATAGAACGATTCACATTGAATAACCAGAACGAATAGTACGACATGAATACTGAATGGAAGGATCAATGACATCTCATATGACTACAGTACACTGTAAATCTTTTTGTTTTGATAGTTTAATTTGAGAATTTTTTCTTTTCTCACTTAAATTTATTTTTTATTTTATTAAAAAAACACTTTGTTTAAATTAAAAAAAAACAGTATTAAATGTTCTTACTTACCTTTAATCTGCTATATGATAATTTATCTATCGTATATAAATGTTGCGTGTTGACTTAAAACTGTAAAAAAAAGAATAAATGTTTTTATTATTATATATTTATTACAATGTTTTTAATTTAATTTTTTAATATACATATAAAACAAAATAATATAACACATTTACATTGAAATTTATTTTTAACTCTAAGTAACCTCATATAGGAAAAGCAAAGGAAACCCTGGAGCATCTGGTTTGTAACTGTACGGCTATCTCGAGAACCCGACAAAAATACTTGGGGGCTGTCAGTGTTGCCGGACTGGAGCACATACCTGAGAATTCCATTGAAATCCTAATAAAATTCGATAATAACGCGCGTATCCTTAACAATGCACATTATTGCTAAAAAATTAAGACTGTGATCTGGAGTCGCAATGGACCTTAATGGTCTACGCGTGGCCGTTTTGGTCTGCCAGCATAACCTTACTTAACAGGTTAATAATAATAATAATAATAGAGGTAAATAAAGATTGTTTTTACTTTCTACCTATAGAGCAACGAATTGATATCTTTAAAACAGAGCTCACTTTTGACGAATACTTCTAACGATTCTAACCAAGTCCCTTTGTGCAGAGCATCCTTCTAAAACTTACAAACAGACAATAGTTATACAAGATCAGATCTAAAGTATATGCCAGGTGCGATGGTAATTCTAAGTGCAATTTGTATATTTCAGACATCGTTAATGTTGTCGCCGACTTATACAGCGATGCATTATATTGAAATGAACACATTTCAAGATTTTATACTTAAGAAACATTTCGAGACTTTAATATAACGCAAGACGTCTTTAATTTTCGTTATCTTTACTGTATAGTTCAAACTTCACCTATTCTTTTTAACAGAACTAGAATAAATTTTGCATTTTAATGCTCGAAAATGCCAATTTCTCTATAATTCGTTTATGGTTACTTAAAAAAAATGAAAGTTCTAGAATCGGTCATTTCGACGTCTCGGTATTGACGACAAAGTTACGCTGATGGCAACGGTCGCAAATCAAGCAATTCTTTCCAGAAAGAGAGCAACTATGCGGCAGACAACTATCCGGCAATGTGCTTGATTGTAGATCAAGTTTCTTTCATAGGTCACATTATAGCTTTATTGTCAAAAGGAAGTACGTTTCCTTAAAAGCGATAAACTGCTCGGGCGATAATAACAACTTACAAATTAACAATGCTTATAAGTCTTTCACATGATCTTAAAGAGACAAGTTTTATTTTTAGCAATGCAAACGTTGGCATAGAATCCGCAAGGTAGCAGAACAGCTGGTGCGCCGGTGAAAACATGGAGAAGAACGATTGAAAGTGAGCTAGCTGAAGCACGATATACATGGAACGACATCTACAGAGAAGCATCAAATCGGGTCAAATTTAGAAGAATTATTAAGGCCCTATGACCACTGGGGGAATTGGATAGCAGTAGTAGTAGTAGTAACGAGACAAGTTCTATGAGAAGTCACGTCGCGGTATTAGTATTAACGAGAAAATTCCGTTAACAAATCTCGTTCAGATTTTATACTTTGCAGAGGAAGTAAGTTACGTGGGCGAACTGCCTGCGTGGATAATACATATATTTTTTTTTGTGTTTTTCTTAAGTGTGTTATAATAATTTAAAAGACACAATTTCTAGAAAAAGTCACGCCGACTTATTACTATTAACGAAATAAATTAAACGAGTAACTTACAAATGAATAATACTAATATCTCTCTCTTATATAGTCTTTTATAGTAATTTATTAAAGAGACAATTTCTGGAAGAAGTCACATCGACTTTTTGATTTTGACGAGAAATTTCCGTTCTCGTTCAGATTTTATAGTTCGCAAAGGCATCAGATTTTCTCTGGGCACAAATGAAACTATTGACAGATCTGTTTTGACCTTAAAGCAACATATTTAAGGTTTACTATATGTGTAAGAAATACATGTGCAGTAAGTAAGTCGATTTTCCTACATCCCAACCACAAACAAATGGAAAAAGTTTTAGTGATATAGAAACCTCAAACGAAATAAAGTTATAAATTAATAAATAATAAATAGAAATTGAAATATAATATGTAGATAAATATAAATTTTAATTTAAAAATAAATTAACAAAATTCTGCATTTATATTCAAATAATCGTTCTTTATTAATTTGAAAAAGCCACATTATTTCTTATGGTATATGATTTGCAAATGTATTTCCTCCTTCTTTATGAGTCTTCGAAGCCGAGATGGACTTTAAGTAATTTAATTTGTTTCATAAATCGTATGAATTGTGCTGGTTTGTTGAATTCATTAGATTTACAAACAAATGATATGCAATACCAGTTGATTTAGTGCTTTTTTCAATTGGGATTTTAATTGAATTTCAGATATGTATAATTGAATTCACTCTGACATTGGTATTTATGTTCATATTTACTTGTGGTAGGAAATTCATTTAATTTGCAATTTTTTTTTGCTTTTACTATATTTACATATATTTTAAGGAATATTTTACTGAAAATTTTGGCAACTTTATGGGTCACTTTGGGTTATTGGTAAATTTTTAATGTAAAAATTCTTAAAATGCATTTTATAATGAAAAATTATTTTTCTCAATTTTTATTCATTTTCATTATTTTTCATTAGTTTTTATTTTTGTTATTTTCATTATATTTCTCCATCTCGATGCGAATCAAATGTCATGCTGACCAGAATAAGACCACAGAATGAAAAACAAATTTTCGAAAGGAAGTTCTCATTTGACAAATCATTAAATTTTTAATACCATAAATGGCAATTTTGTTGGAATATCAGTTATGCTGTTGCCTTTTAAGCACAATTCTTTTTTTATATTTTCCGATTTTCTTCAATATTTTTTTTTTTTTATTTTTTGCAATTTTTGCAGTTTATTTTTTCTAATTTCAATTTTTAATGGTAATTTTCATAAGCTACAAACACCCATTCATATCCAAAGAATAGCTCTTTACGAACTACATTCATACCCAAGCATACACGCATACATACATTTAGGTACACTTAACCCAATTTTGGAGCCTAACACATTATGACGTAGCAGGCAGCAGGCGAACCGATAGGCCACTAGGCGAGCAGCCGAGCATTGGAACAGTTGTACAGTTGAAGAGACAGGAAGGCTCTACAATATTTTGCATAAAATTTACAATTGAAATTTACCGCAAAAATTTCAAAATTTAGAAAAGTGTATGAGTTTCTTTAAAATGCATACCGAACTTAACTAAATCGTTCCGTACGGTACGACACGGTACCGTACCAAACCGTATCAAAACGAGTAAGTGTATTTGTAGCTTTGGCAACGTGCCACCACATAAAAGCGTTAAGCGTAAAACAAGAAAATAGGATTCATACTTTTCGGCTCTAATGCGAAAATATCAGTGATGTGATGCGATGGGATGTGAGGCGATACGTTGCGATATGATATGAGGCAAGGCGAGGCAAGGCGATTTGATATGTGCGAAATGAGATGTGTGTGATGAGATATATTCATAGTCTTGCTAGTTTGTGGTGTACACCACTTTATTTTATCGCTTAACTATTTGCAGCTCCTATTGTTCCTTTATGTCTGTCCGTATGTCTTTTTGTCTGTCTGTTTGTTTGTACCTATATCTTTTTGTCTGTATGTCTAACTGTTTTCGTATGCCGTTTTATATTAACGTCTATAAGTCTTGATATGTTTACCTTACAGAGTCCACCAGATATTTTCGTAAACTTCTTTTATTCGTAAGGGGTTGCTTTATAAATAAGATGAAATTCAAATAAAATCATTTATTTTTATAATAAGCTGTTCTAAAGGTCCAAATATTAGAATAAAATGTAAATAGTTTTTAATTTCAATTAGGTTCATATCAAACAGAAATATTCAACAATTTTTAATAAACAAAGTCTTTTCATCCAACTTTATCAACGATTACATTAATTATTATTTATTTATTATTCATTTGTGATTTAACACTAAAATTAATTTTAAAGTTAACTAAGAATAAGAAAATGGACTGCTAGATCCTTTGCCCTGTACATTTATTTTAGTTACCCAAATCAAAGAATCCTTAACATTCGACAATTAAAGCACGTTTATACTATCACAATTAACTTGAAGAATATGCAGCAATTTTAACATTTTTTATACAAAATCCAGTTAAAAATGGACTAATTAGGTTCAATAATTAAAAGTAAAAGTGAAAACATGATATCAGTTTTAAATTTAAACTTAAGTTTTTAGATATTTTCAAATTACCACAGTCAACTGAAAAGTTGCAGTTCATTTAGGCCACTCAATTATTATTTTAAGTAAAAAACAGACCAGAGTTTATCGAGACAGTATTAGGTAGCGCCTACTAGATTTTAGTCGTCGCTTACGACAGGCATGCCTTACCACAGAGTTATTCTAACCCTTTTCCCGCGAGGTTACGGAAGAAAAAGACGACTTAGATCATCAAACGTTATTACCTGTTGTGAATGCTCAACAATACGGTGCTCTTAACACACGTATCGTATACTCGTATAATGCGCCAGATCAAGAGAATTGGTTGAATTTATGAAAATGAGCGTGTAAAATAGACCACTTACTTTTTATTTAAAAAATTAATTTGGGTCTAATCATCGTTCGCTAAAGACTGGTTTTAGACTAATTATTATATGGTTATGAATCATTATTGTGGATTGGGATGTATACTAGAATTTTTCAGTATCGATAAGACGATACTGGCGATAGGCGGATCGTCTTAGCTTTAATTTTTTTTTTCAAGAAGTTCTCCGAAAAATTTTTTTACCCTTATTAGGCTTTAAACAAAAAGATACTGTCAATCGGATCAGCAAGAAAGTTTTTTTCCCCATACAATTGGCGACTCCACTTATATATGTACATATATATGTACGTACATATATTATATGTCATTTATAAGAGTATTTGCATAGGTTGCTGGCACATGCAAAATATCTTTATTGTACGCAATTTATACGCATTTTAAAATGTGTATTTAAATTCTGGCAAATAGTCAAGCAACAAAGAAGCCGCCTAGGCC